ACTAAATGGTACATGTAGAAACTGTGGAATTGGTGTATGTTTTGCTGTGTATATTCTTGACAACAACAACAACAAAATAAACAAATTAAAAAAAGAAAAAAGGGCAACCAAGGTCACGGCTCCTCTGAGCAAGGGCCAGGCTCAGCAGTCTTAGACAAGGACTCCACCCCTTTCACAAACCTGTTCAGTATTTAACAACTCTCACAGTGACAGACATACTTAGCCTCAAGGCCTCTGGTGACTCCTAAACGTATTCAAGTTACTACTAAGCCTATTCATCATCCCTGTGTGATTAAAAAAAAAAAAAAGATGTACATTATGTTTAAAACTATTCTAATTTTTTTCAACATATGAATTTAAATTGAAGTGAATAATTATACACTATTAACACTCGAAACCCATTGCCATCAAGTTGATTCTGACTCATAGGAACCCTACAGGAGCCCTGGTAATGCGGCGGTTAAAGCACTCAAATCTTATCTGAAAGGTTGATGGTTCAAACTCACCAGCCACTCCAAGTAAGAAAGATGTGGCAATCTGCTTCCATAAAGATTCACAGCCTTGGAAACCCTACAGGGCAGTTCTACTCTGTCCTATCGGATTGCTATGAATCATAATCAACTGGATGGCAACGGGTTTGGTTTTTTTGGTATTAACACATGGGGTCACCGTGAGTTTTCAATTTAGTAAATTCCTTTGGTTTTCTCCTTCATGTTCATCCTCTCCCCTGAGCAGTCACACTGCAGTGGGACCCAAAACACAGACAACAGACGAGGAAAGCAAAGGGCAGGGAAATCAGAAGATTCACGCTCCAGATCCTGCTCTTTTGGCCAGGCATGAGACCTCAAAATCACTACTTAACCTCCCAATGTCGCAGTTCCCTCATCTGAAAAATGACAATGCTTGCCTGCCTCCTTCACAAGACTACTGTGAGAATCCAATATCACCAATGTGATGCACTCTGAAAATTTGGAAATGCCAAAAAAAGACATAATCAATATATTCCTAAGTAAAAATGCACCCAATGTATATGAATCCTAGACTCACTATTTGTATGCACTGATGCAAACAAAGGAGTACACAGATACAGATATTTGTCATTTTAAGTTAACTGGAAATCTAATTAAATCCTGGGGAATGGAAGGGGCTAAATTAACCTGTCCACATTCTGTTAAAATTTTTATTCCTAATATCAGGAATAATTTTGCCTCTGATTTAACACTCTATTCATTTTTTTTTCTACTGAAAAATTTAAAAATGCATGAATTATCCCAGTTGTATCACTTATAATCTAGAATCTATAAAACGGGGGGAATAATAGTGCCCTTAACATAAGGACTGAACCAAACATGTAAAGCGCTAACAGTCGTCCTGGAACACAGGAAATGCCGATGAATATCTGCAGTTATCGTCATATAGCGCTGGAGAATCAGCCAGATCTGCATTCAAACCACTGGTCCAATCCATTCCAGATATATGATTTGGGGCCCTGGTTTTGTCATCTGTATAACACAGAAAATAATACTACCTACCTCATAGGGTTGTTATCAGGATTTTTTTTTTAATTACATACATATATATATATATATAAGGATACTTGGTACATAGTAAGTGTTCAGTAAGTGAGGGTGGTGGTGTCGGCAACGGGGTTCCGTTC